GCACAAAAAAAAAACACAAAGAAAAAGGATGAAACAAGGTGGGATTCTGGCCAGATGCATTCCTGGAGGCACTACTGGCAAGTATCAGCTGCACGTCTGTTCTCCGTGGAAAACGCTCTGCTCTTTGGCAGGGCACGAAATCAAGTGTCGGCAGCAAAAAAAAAAGACAGCACAACAAGGAACGAACCTAGTTAATAATCTGGGCAGATGCATTCGTGGAAACGGCCTACGAAAAGGCGATATTTCCGCCTTTTTCGAACTTGGGCCATATCTTCATTGCCCATTAGTGTTATGTCTGCCTTTTCGAACTACGGCCATTTTTTCGTTGCCCATTAGTGTTTTTTTTGCCCTTACAGTTTGAAAGTGTGCTACTACCGCACTTGTTTCTTAATAGTATCTGTGAAATCTGGGCCTGGGCAACGAACAGACGAACATTGAGAGAGCGATCACAGCTTTCTGCACAGACTGGTTGGGGGGGGATTCAAGGGGGGTTGGTTTGCCAGAGTGGAGTGAAGTGGGAGTAGAACTGTAGAAGGGGAGGGATGCAACAAGAGAGGGTGGAATCTAGGGACTATCGTTTGTTTTTTTAACGATGGACAAAGATAGAGCCAACTTTTTTTTTTTTTTTTTTTTTTCTTTCCCCAAAGGAAGGTTCGTCCACATTGCAAAAGGTATGAGTTGGGGCCGGTCTCCCCACATAAAGGCCGGACTGGAGCATTATGCAATCAGACTCGCTTTATTTCTCACTTTGCATGCATACAAACAGATGGTAGACCAAACTGGCGCCAGGCGCCCACTCAAGCTCAGAGATATGGAGACCGAGAACACAGTTCAGATGCAAACTTGCTTCAACAGGCTATGGCGACTGAGCGCCCAACAACTCTCTTCACCGACACTGTGTCCACAACCATCGTTCGCATACACTCAACTCTGGATCACCCTGGATATCCCACACGTTTCCCTGTACTACACACACACACACACACACACACACTGAAGCCTATCTCTAACCTACGGCGGCTATGGCCGCTCAACTACTACTGACTATGGACACTTTGTCTTTCTTCAGCCCACTTCGACTACCGGCAACCTGCAGACCACCTTGCACAAGACGCTGGGGCAGGACTTCCGCATGGCTCACGCAGCGAATGAATGAATGGCTGGGCGCTGCCTCTTGATTTATACTTCTGTAAGTCGTTGGTCTGCCCTTTTCCACCGGGCCGGTGGTGTACACAGTCCCTCATGGTACTTGCTGACTGTGCAAAGTGAGACTGGGGCTGAGTACCGCTGCCTAAGCGAAGTTGGACTCACCACTTGCCCACTTGCCTCTGACTAAACGTGAGGAACTCTCGAAAGGCCACTTCCGGAAGTCTGTGGACTTGGCCTTTCAGGACTGTAGCAGCTACGACCTTGACCTTTCAGGGCTGTGGCAGCTACGACCTTGACCTTTCAGAAACGCTACAGCTACGGCCTCTACACAGCTATGAGTCTATGACCCCTACTCGACAGATCTACAGATCGAACCCCTACAACTACGCAGACCGACGAAAGACAACAGCCAACTACCAAAACACAGGTTGCGGGTTCAAACACTCAGGGGTCAACTCGATACTGTACATGGGTAAGGTAAGGTCTGGGGATCGAACTCTGGGACCCGCATCTGTGACTGCAAAAGGTGAAAACCGTTTCAATTACCAGTAGTTTCGCTTTTGACAGGACCCAGTTGGGACCCGGGGAACTCCTTGGAAATAAAAACCATGGTGACCTAACAGCACTGTCACTACACTAGCAATAGATTGTCAACAAGAAAGAAGAAAGAAGAAGGAAGAAAGAAACACACTAAACATCAAAGAGTCAAGCACGGTAGCTTGTTCAGTCCTAGACGCTAAGTGTCTACCGGCAGAAGTCTTCGTACACAGACCGAAAAGGCAACGGCCTGATCCTGGCCTATGATGGCTGGCCTATGATGGCCAGGAGGAACCGGAGTTCCCTTTCTCTGTAACGTGACACTCTCCTCCCGACCCAACCCAACGCAGCCAACCTACTGTGGCTGCCGACCGGAACCGAGTGCCCGGGTTCAGAGAAAGAACCTAATCTCTCCTATTCCTAAGGGTTTCAATGGGGGGGGGTAGGGGCCCCTGGGAATTGAAGTGGGGTGAGACGTGCGGCTGGTTGGAGGGGGGGGGGGGGGGGGGGGGGGGGGGGGGGGGGGGGGGGGGGGGGGGGGGAGGGAGGGGGGAGTTGGGGGGTGAGGAAGGAGCGGGGAAGAGGGAGGAGACAGAGTCAAGGAAGAACATTCGGAGAGCCAGGGGGTGATGACCCGCGTGCCACTGTGGGTGAAAGTGGCAAGCTTGTTGTCACGTGCCCAATGCCCATGTCACCAGGAACCAATGCCTGCCTCTGGCGCTCTGGGTGTATGGCCTCTGCCCGCTTTCCTAATCGGGACAGCTCTGATCATGATCGTGCGGATCTGGGCTTTGATATCTCGGATCATGGCCCAGATCTGCACGATCATGATCAGAGTTGTCCCGATTAGGAAAGCGAGCGAGGTCGCTTGTACTGTTGTCGGAAAAGGACATTGTTGCGGTCTCCCCATATGGTCTAGATGAGAATTGATCGGATGACCTGCGCCACCACTTAGCCTCTCCCCATGTATTTGAACCAAGGGGGGGGGATTCGGCCAAGAAGGGCCCAGGATTCGTCTCATGGGTCCCGGAGCAATGGGCCAACAAACCTGAACCAGTGCCTTTCCCACCATTGCCAGAATGATTTGGAGGCCGGACAGGTCCAAATCAGATGCTCTAAGCTTTCTTCTTGCTGGCCACCGCAGCATCTGCACTTCGTGGATTTTATGTCCATTCCCAGTTCATACAGCCTGTCCGAGCTGTCGGAGCTGGGGATGGCGGAGTGTGACAGGAGCCAGAGCAGTGCTGAGAGTTTCTGCGAAGATAAGGCTGGTAGTTGCGCCCACAGGATTCGCAGCTCTCGTGCCGTCGTGATTGGCCGTGGTTCTGCTGTTCGCCTGTTGAGAGTAGACTAGCTGTCAGACAATCGTGGGTCACAGTCCATTACCCTTGGGGCCCCGCGCTCGGAATCTGGCACGGTGGGGGAAACGGACTGGGGCGACGACCAAACTGATCCTCTCGAAGTCGACGAAGACGTAACAAGAAGAAGCCGACAACAGGAATTTTAGGAAAGTGACTACCCCCCTTTCCCCATTCCCCCCTTCCCCCCTTCTCCTCCTGCCTTCTTGTCCCCTTGCAATCCAATTTCCACCCCATCTCGACTTCCACTTTGCCGGCTCACCCCTTCCTCTTCTGGTCTTGCTTGATTCTGCTTTCGATCTGATTTTCTTCCCTCCCTTTCTACTCCTCCCCCCTCTCTCTCTACTCACCTCCTCCTTCTTCCCCGTAAACTCCACTGACCCTTTCATTCACCTCCTTCTTCCTCGCCATAGACTCTCTCTTCGCTGCGCCATGAGCTCAACCTATCGCCATCTTGATTCCCTCGCTTCTTCTCTCGTGACCCACCCCATTTTTGCCCTCCACCTTCCTTGGAAAGATCCCCCCCCTCTCGACTCTCTCCCTTCCTCTTCACCGAGATCTCTCTCCGCACTACCCCACAAACATAGCCCATCTGACCCCCTAGCTTCCCCCACCCTTCCCCCCTTCTCGGTTCATTCCCTTTCCCCTCCACTTCCGGCCTCCGACTCTCCCTTGTTCTCCCTTTTTTTAATTTCCCTTCTCCTCGCAAACTCTTTCTTCGCTGCTTATCGCCATCTTGAACCCCTCGTTTCTCCCCTCGTGATCCACCCCCCTTGTTGCTCTCCACCTTCTTTGGAAAGATCGTGCTGCCTTCCCCCCCCCCCCTGACTCTCTCCCCTCTTCTTCACCGACAACTCTCTCCTCGCTACCTCACAAACTTTAGCCCATCTACATCTCGATCCCCTCGCTTCCCCCACCTTCCCCTCTTTCTCGATCCCTCCGGTCTCCTCTTCACTGTGTACTCTCTCTTCACATCTCGACTTCCCCTCCCCGTCTGGTTTTGTTTTTTTCTGCTCCCCTCTTCGAGTCCCTCCGCCCCCCGTCTCTCCCTTGTTCTTCCTTTAGTTCCCATTCTCCCCTCGCTGCCTCAAGCCTCTCCCCGTCTGGTTTTGGTGTTCTCTACTCCCCTTTCTCTCCGCCCCCCGTCTCTCCCTTGTTCTTCCTTTTCGGCCTTTAGTTCTCGATCTCCCCTCGCTGCCTCAAGCCTCTCACATCCCGACCTCCTCCTTGCCCGAGTCACCTCCTCCCGCAACGTGAATCTTCCTCCCCACCTCCCCTTCTTGCTTTGTTCTTCCTGCTCCCCTTCCTCTCCGCCCCCCGACTCTCCCTTGTTCTCCTTGTTTCTGCCTTCTTGCAACGTGCATCTTCCCCCCCGTCTCTTCTTGGCCCAACCTTCGCTCCTCTCTCGTTGCGCCCTTCTCTCGGCACCTGTCCTCTTCCCACTCCTCTCTCCCACGTCGTATCCCGCCCTCCTTGGAAAAGTGTAATCACGTACCAATCACGAGCGGGGGGACTGTGGAGGAGGGAGGCAAGTGTGAGGGTGATAGCCGTAGACTGACGGAGGAGGGTTATGTCAACTTCTGTGGAACGGGGAGAATAACGAAGGAAAGGAATAACAATGAGGGAAACAATCAGAAGGGATAGGTAGGGAAGGAAGGATAACGAAGGAAGGAAATAACAAAGGTCGAACCACGGGCCTCTCCGAGAGGGACGGGAGGATAACGAGGGTTGGGCAGAACACAGGCAGGAGTTTAATTCGAAGAAGGTAGCCGCACCCTCCTGGCTGTCATCCAAGGCATTCAGCGCTCCGAGCACAGGCATACATAGGAAACATAGAGTTGGAACAGGGAGGAGCGAAGGGAATCAGAGAAACACCAAAGCACGATGGCAGCCAGCAAGTGCCCCAAAATGGGGCACAGACTTCAAAGTGCACATAAAAGACTAGACTCTATCCTATTGTATCAAGGGGTCATCCGACAGCACGCGGACAAAAGCCTGGCCGGAGGTAAACAAAAGGCAATAGAGGACTAGTGGGGGGCAGACCACCCCGCCACCCAACAGACAAGGGGGTCCGAGGACACCCAGTCCTCCACCCCCCCCCACATGTCCCACACCTCCCCCTCCCCCTCCTGGGCCGCACGTTTGCACAAACCACATGCTGGTCAAACAATCACGGTGCACAAGAAAACTGAGGAAGAGGAAAGGCGGGAGTGGAAGATCCCCCTGGGGAGTCTATTGTCTGCGGACGCCTTTTTCCTAGCCAGGCTCCTGACCCCATCGGAATCCAAGGTAATCAACCTGAAGGGCAAATCCTCGCTGGTTAAAACCTTACCGGCAGACAAGGTCAGGGACAAAAATGAGTTATACACAAAACACGCCAGTAACTGGGTGTTTCACGACGACGCTGCCTACAAATGACAAAGTGGGATGGATACGCAAGAGGTTGACTTCTCTCAAAGGAAGCATGGAAGAAGCACAATACCTTTTTCTGCTCCAGCCCATCTCAACATCCACTGTTACTGCCATTTGTAGATATGAGATGGACAAACGGGCCATGGATAACTGGCGATCGATTCGATGCGATAGGTCCGAAGTACGGATCTACCCATGGGCTCCCTCAAAACAGCAGCGCCCAGAAGAAAAAGAGAGAGAAAATGATGGCAGAAAAATTATGGGTAGAATTTCGGCATATTCCCATCGAAATCCAGACGGTTTTTTTCCAGGACTTCGGAGAAAAAATTAACATTATTGACGTTATAGACCCACTGCCCCCCCATGTGGCAAGAAGGGACGACTACCTGATGTTGGCTATCAATCTCCCAGAGGGGCAACCATTTTCTGTTGACGACATATCCCCTTCTGGGTCGAGGAAAAGGACTACAAGATACACACGGCCCAGAAGCTACGCCCCTGGTGTTTCAAGTGTCAAGCCTATGGTCACCTATACACAGACCCTGTATGCTCCTACCACCCGGTCAACCAAGTTAGGGCCACAGGGCGTCTAATTCAAGACCCCTTTAGGAGTGCACACTGGCGCACCGTAGACCCAGGACATGAAAGGTGGGTTTACGCTGATAAGGCAGGCGAGGGAGGGGAAATCATAGGATGGGTGTGGGAGGGAGCGGGAAATCCCAATCTCGATTCCAACCCCCCACCTACCTCGACTCCCCCAAAGACGGTAGAAGCCCACCTACAGCCGCAGGGGGTCATTCCCGAACCACTGGGTACCGACCGGAAGGAGAATCGGGACAACCAGGGAGGAGGAAACTAGGCCCGGCCCCGGAGAATTATCTAACAGGGCAGGGAACCCAGCTGCAGCCCAAATCTCCGAAAAAAGGGCAACGAGGTGGTCCACTACGTCAGACCAAGGAAAGAGTAAGGGCAAGGAAGAGGGAGTGGGTCAAAACATCTTCGCCGTATTGGCCACAAAATCAGGTGAAGGAGAAGCAATGCGTCAAGGAAGTCAGCAGGCTCAGCAAGTCGAACAAAACGGAAAAGAGACCTGCATGCAATATTCCAGCCACCTGCAATCCATCATGGGCATGAGGGACCCTTATGGTGATGTACTGGAGCGGTCTGTAGAAGGGAGGGACAACCCGACAGACCTCGGATTAGTATAGAACCCCAACCCCTCGACCCTGCAAATCACGGACTGGATCATGACAGGTCTTCGGTCTCTCTATGCAGAGGCCCCAACGAATTTCTGGCCGCAGGCACACGCACAATTGAGGGGTGCCCTCAAGGACAACGCGAAGGTGAGGTGCATTTTGGAACAAGGCCTTCCGAGCCACACTCGTTGGGATGAGGTACTCCAAAGGCTTTTCAAAATTTCGGCAGCATACTTCCAGGTACCGACAAAGGGACTGCAAGCGGCACATAACCACCTGCCAGCCAAACATTCCAGCGAACAGTCGTCCGAAGGTGGCGAGCAGACTGCGGTCCCGCAGGGGGTAAAGATGGGGGAGGCAGCAAACATGGTAGGTAGGGAGTTGGGATCTAGGGGGAACAGGGATCAATAGACAACCACCCTTGAAGAAGGGAAGCAAGAGGTCCTCGCAGAGGATGGATTACCTCGAAGGGGCTTTTGGCCCGCAACTCATGGAGATCGAGGAACCCCCAGTCCCCCCCCCCCCCCCCCCCAGATGTGGCTGCGATGGACATTGACCCGCAGGAGGACACGGGTGCTCCACCGGTAGATATGGACACGGAACAAAAACTTAGAATTACCGTCGATTGGCTGATAGAGGGCTTCCTTGCTCAATACCCGGGCGTGACAAAGGACTTCGGGGACTGCTCCTATGCCCAACTGTTTGCCATACTAGATAAAAGTCCGACCTTGCGAAAATCCCTAGAAGTCGGTCCCCCCCAGCACATCACTTGGTTCGAGATCTTCCAACGAATTCGCCACCTCACAGCCCAACAGTTTCACCCCCCAGTGCAACACCAGCCACCACCGGAAGACCTTGAGGAGAACCGATTTGTGGTTCTGTCCGATTACTGCCACAAAAAACTTAGACATATGGTGGAAGCAGGCCAATATGAAAAAAACATGTTGCAGAAAGAAGGGGTGGTAGTCATACCCCTGAGATATGTGGACGATAGGATGGAGATTGGGCTCTCTCTACTGCAAGGAGGATTCACACTGCCAGGATGGGCCTTCTACAACATCTGGTCTCTCCCCGGCCTGAGAGATAGCGACTTTAAGAAAAAGGCAGATCCTTTTCTACGCTAGCACTACCCAGTCGGAGTCCTAGCAACCCTCCCCCAATTTGATGGATTGATGAGGGTAGCCACCACAGACCTGTACGTTCTCTTTGAGGAGGATAAAGACTCCAATTTGAAGTGGTTCAACCATGGAGACCTGATGGAGCTCCCCCTTCAACAAGTGAAAGTCAATCGATTTTGGACGGAGGAGGATTTACGCACGTGCTTATCGAGGGTGCTCTGGTATGGGTTGCTACGTACAATAGACTGCTCTGCCCGACCATGGATTAGAGTCTAGATTTGGGAC